GTAGCTGAAACTGTATGGAGAAATAGAGCTAAAGCTGTAGAAGTAGAGGCAGAGCTAGCTGGATCTGTAGAGCTAGATCAATGGTTTTCAACCTCAAAAAATTTTGAATGAAGGTGTGAATCCCTTTGATTTGTAAGTGTGAATGTTCACATACTTTTGATTGATCATAGTCATTTTTCTCAGACCCCTCAGACATAGTGTGTGGAACCCCAGGGGTCTGCGGATCACAGGTTGAAAAGCACTGAGCTAGAGATACAGAGCTAGAGCTAGATGGAGCTATGGAGCTAGAGAGATATAGATACGTAGCATTGAAATGGGCCAATATTTGCACTGGCTTATTCTGCTCCCTGCAGTAGACTGATATCCATCAGCCTTGCACCTCACTGCTTCTTGCAGTGGATGAATTAGAAATAGGCTGGGATTATTTATTTATTTATTTATGGGCATTGCAAACTTCTGCTGACTAAGACAGGGCCATATTTGCAGGCATTCCGTCTCTGCGCGTTGCAAGGCATTGGTGTTTGTGTTAAAGGCAAATATCTGCTCTGGACAAGAGACAAGAGCAACCCTACTACATTATCCACATGATCATCATGATCCACATATCAATCATGACATAAATGGCAAGGGTGCCACACAAGTGTCCAATTTAAGGTGTCATGAAATGGGGGAGTGAGCCAGAAAAATGGTACATGTATGATGTAAGATGGTTTTATGACGTGTTGCTATGGTGTGTTAAATATGATGTGTGGATGGTGGCTGACAGCTGATCGTGGGCATGGCAGGAAGCTGGGTGAGGGCAAGCCAGGGACTTTAAGCCCCTGATCCAACAATGGCACCTCTTGCCAGGTCTGTGTGGTGCAGCCAGAGGTGAAACTGGGGGACAAGGGAGTGCCCTCCAACCCCATTGCACCATGAAAGAAACATCTACCAGCAGTCTTATATGGGCTGGTGTGGAGGTTTCTGTGCCAGCACCTGCTTGCCCTGAAGTAGACTTAAGATCTTTACCCCGGGCAAAGAACAAGTCCGCTGACGGGACAGTCTCAGCTGTTTGAATCCAAAGTCCTTCTCCTTGTGAGAGGACAAAGGGGGTTTGCTCTTGGAAGAGCCCGGTGTGGCCACAGAACACACTTCTGCTGAGCATAGGGAATTATTGCTGGCCTTGGCTCGAGCTCTCTGCAAGGCCTTACACTGCTACCCTTGAAATGTTTGTATGGGGGGGAGGAAAATCCAATCTGCTGCTGGCAACAAAGGCACATTAGCTGAGGGGCCCAGCTCCTGCCCTTAGCCAGAAGGTGAGGTCAGTTAGCACCGAAAGAGGGCAGATCCAAGATGTCCCAAAGGAGAGCGCATTAAATGTAATGTGGCATGTTAAATGCAACATGTGGATGGTGCTGACTGTGGGCCAGGGGAGGGGAAGCCATGGGCTGGCTGCAGCCCTGCTCCCAGCCTACCCTGTCCCTAGCATGGCAGACGGATGGAGCCTTGGGAGCTTCTGAGGGCTTTTTGAAGTCCTTAAAGCAGGTAAAAATCCCTCTCCCTTCCCCTTCCTGCTCAGAGGCACCCTCCACTCCTCTTCCACCTCTCTCCCCTCTTTCACCTCCCCTTCCTCCACCCACATGATCAGGGACTTGCTTGGCAAGCCATATGAGGAGAGGCTGAGGGATCTCGGACTCTCCAGCCTAAAAAAAAGAAGGCTGAGTGGGGACCTGATTGTGGCTTACCCACCATATCAGAGGTGTATATCAGGGGCTCGGTGAATAACTGTTCACCAGGGCGCCCTGGGGGAAAACTAGAAACAATGACCACAAACTCATAGTTTCATAGTAGCTAGGGTCAGGAGGGACCTGAACAGATCATCTAGCCTGATCCCCTGCCACAGGCAGGAATGAATGCTAGGTTCACAAGACCCCAGACAGGTGATCATCCAACCTCCTCACCGTTTCCCCACTAAAACCAGCTGGGGAAACAACAAGTAGTTGCATTGCAAACTCTCAGTGCAACAAATGTTGGATGCTGGGCTCTTTGGTTTCCACAGGAAACATCCCTGC